CTATGTGCGTGTTATGTACACTAAAGTGAACATGTGATAACTATGTACATTAAAGTGCTTCCAATATTTCTTAAAGTGATACAAATGCATATATTTACATTAAAGAGCTAAACATGAATTCTTTAACCCCTTAAGGACTGGACTGTTTTTGCGATGTTGTACATTTGCGACCAGGCATATTTTTACACTTTTGTGGTGTTTGTGTTTGGCTGTAATTTTCCGCTTTCTTATTTACTGTTCCCATACATTTTTTCAGGACAAAAGGGGCTTTTTTTACATACCATTATTTATATAATCTCATGTATTTTAATTTAAAATAAATAAAAATAATGATGAAAAATTGAAAAAAATACATGTTTTTTGACTTTTACTTGAAAAATCTTTTACTCATCTACAAAAGCGAATGAAAAAACCTGCTAAATAGATTAAAAATTTTGTCCTGAGTTTAAAAATACCTAGTGTTTACGTGCTTTTTTGCTTTTTTTTGCATGTTATAGGGCTATAGGTACAAGTAGGATATTGCGGTTTCAAAACATACATTTTTAAAATTATCTGTCATAAATCTCTGAATAACACCCCACATGTACATATTTTTTTTAAAGTAGAAAACCCAGGGTATTCAATATGGGGTATGTCCAGTCTTTTTTAGTAGCCACTTAGTCGAAAACACTGGCCAAAGTAAGCATTCATATTTGTTTGTGTGTGAAAAAGGTAAAAAAACTAAATTGAACGCTAATTTTGGCCAGTGTTTGTGACCAAGTGGTTACTTAAAAAGACTGGACATACCCCATTTGCAATACCTTGGGTTGTCTTCTTTTGCAAATGGTATGCCATCATGGGGGTAATTCTCATTCCTGGGCTACCATACGCTCTCAAAGGCAACGTAACCAACCTGGCCATTTTCAATGTAAAAAATATTTGACCCATATATTTGACCTTGTAACTTTCAAAAATGCTATAAAACCTGTACATGGGGGGTACTGTTTTACTCGGGAGACATCGCTGAACACAAATATTAGTGTTTAAAAATTGGAAAACGTATCACAACAATTATATCATCAGTAAAAGTGCTGTTTGTGTGTGAAAAATGCAAAAAAAGTAACTTTCACTGACAATATCATCGATGTGATATGTTTTACTGTTTTGAATCACTAATATTTGTGTTCAGCGAAGTCTCCCGAGTAAAACAGTACCCCCCATGTACAGGTTTTAGGGTGTCGTAGCACGTTACAGGGTAAAATACAGTGCTAGCAAATTAAATTCTCTGAAATTTCGGCCTGGGTTGGCAGGCAGGTCCCTCAAATTCCAATCAATAAAATTACTGAATTATGTAAAAATATTACATAAATACGCACGTAGAATTTAAATATATATGCATATTTATATAGTTTAAGTCTACGTGTATATTTATATAATTATTTATGTATATGGACATATGTATATTTCGTATTATTTTTATTTATTTATATATACATAGATATATATACAAATTCATTCTAAGTGTATTTTGATATAAATATATATTAATTTTAGAATAGTTAGAATAAAATTTCATATAGATATATAATTGTAATTTTATTTAAAAAAAATTATTTAATTTAAATTACTTATTATTTATATTTTATAATAATATATATATATATAGTTATTATATATATTGTATATATACGTGTGTATTTTAATTATAAGTGTATTTTTATATTAATATAAGTACATATTAATATAAAAATACACTTAGTATGGCATTATATATATATATGATATATAGACATATATTATATAGATATAATATATGTCTATATATCATATATACACATATATAATTATTATTTTTTTAATTAACATTAACTTTATTTTTTTAATGATTTTACACTTGCAGGGAGACTGCCTGTCAGCACAGACAGTCCCTCTGCAGGCAGACACATGGACACCTATTGTGACCATGTGATCGCTGTGTTGAGCGATCACATGGCCACAGGGGTCCTAATTCAGTGTGGGGAGACTGTCTGGGCTGCAGCCAGTCTCCCCACAACCGGAGCAACGCTGATCGCCGCCGGGGGAACGACGGCGATCAGGTAAGTAACTAAGACCGTTAGGACGGTTCAGGACCGTCATCGGTCTGCAAGCCAAAAATGCCGATGACGGTCCTGAACCGTCCTTGGTCGGGAAGGGGTTAAAGTGCTAGAAGTGTATTCACATATTTTTCAATATGCATAACAGCCTATCTTAGATAAAATACACATGATCAAATAATTGCAAAACAAGGTGTACTATCATTTGATTCTATTTCTAATTTTTATCTTTGAATAAAAATGACAATGAGTAACAATGACACTTTAATAAGAGGGACTCTTCTTCTGTGCAATTAAATTAGTTAAGAAGGATGGGAGAGAAGGGGACTATACTAAAAAAATAGGGATGGAAGAGATGAAGTTTACCGTATTTTTCGCTCCATAAGACGCACTTTTTTTCCCCTCAAAAGTGAGGGGAAATGTCTGTGCGTCTTATGGAGCGAATGTGAAGAATTACTTACCTGTCTTGGAGCGTGGGCCGGCTTCACAGCGCGCTCCGCGGCCAGGAACTTCTATTTCAGGTTCCGGTTTCCGGCGGGACTGAAAGGAAGTGTGCACACTCAGTGTGCACACTTCCTTTCAGTCCCGCCGGAAACCGGAACCTGAAATAGAAGTTCCTGGACCGCGGAGCGCGCTGTGAAGCCGGCCCACGCTCCAAGACAGGTAAGTAATTATGGGACAAGGGGAGGGGGAGACACTATGGGACAAGGGGAATGGGACACTATGGGAGAAAGGGAGGGGAGGAGACTATGGGACAAGGGGAGGGAAGGAGACACTATGGGACAAGGGGAGGGGGGGAGACACTATGGGACAAGGGGAGGGGGACACTATGGGAGAAAGGGAGGGGAGACACTATGGGAGAAGGGGAGGGGGGACACTATGGGAGAAGGGGAGGGGAGGAGACACTATGGGACAAGGGGAGGGGAGGAGACACTATGGGACAAGGGGAGGGGGACACTATGGGAGAAAGGGAGGGGAGACACTATGGGACAAGGGGAGGGGGGGACACTATGGGACAAGGGGAGGGGGGACACTATGGGACAAGGGGAGGGGGAGACACTATGGGACAAGGGCAGGGGGAACACTATGGGAGGGAAAGTGCACTATGGGACAATGGGAGGGGGGGACACTATGGGATCAGAACACTAATGGACAAGGGGAGGAGGGGTTAAAGAACACTATGGGACATGGTAGGAGGGGATAACAATCACTATGGGACAGGGTAGGAGGGGTTAACAATCACTATGGGACAGAGGAAAGGGGGGTTAAAGATCATTATGGGACAGGGGAGAAAAAAAAATATTCTGAACAAACTGTCCCATGGTAAGAAACACTATGGAACAGTTTGTTCAGAATATTTTTTTTTCTGGGTTTCCTCCTCTAAAAACTAGGTGCGTCTTATGGTGAGGTGCGTCTTATGGAGCGAAAAATACGGTATTTTAGACCTGACAAGTGAGGGCAACTTAATATAACCTATCAAACAAAGAAAAGGTGTATAAATGGCGCTATAAATCAAATAATAACATATATCCCAGTGCGTCCCAAACTACACAAGTGTTGTATCACCCAAAACACTTACATCAAATATGGAGAAACAGAGAGAAGTTGGCGCACACAATGGATATTTTTTTACTCAATAATCTTCGTTGACCCGAGGAAGATTCGATTTATCGATCGGGACATCGGTCATTTTGCGTCACTCAATTTGGACCCTCTTGTGATTTTAGTATGTTTATTCACATCAATCAACCGTAAAGGAGGAGAGATCTCAGGGAGGCGAGCTGTGCACATCAGCCGGCCCTTCTGCAAGCAGCACTCCTGGGGACCCCCACACAGATCCCCTCCTTTACGGTTGATTGGTGTGAATAAACATACTAAAATCACAAGAGGGTCCAAATTGAGTGACGCAAAATGACCGATGTCCCGATCGATAAATCGAATCTTCCTCGGTTCAACAAAGATTATTGAGGAAAAAAATATCCATTGTGTGCGCCAACTTCTCTCTATTTCTTAATATAACATATGTCTACAGTTTGCTGTCCCTTCCTTATTAGAGGCCACTTGCAACCTTAACACAGCAAGACAACTCTTCCGAAACCTGTATTAAACAAAGCACTTTAGAACAATAGTAATTAATTTTGTTTCTCCTATTTCATTCCTAGTTGTTCTGAAAAAAAGATGGTTTCGGTTTCTAAAGATATCAGGGTCCACAAAATTTCTGACAGACTTCAGCATTCCAATTTTATTAAAGTAATTAATTGAGATTAACAAATCAAGGTTTAAGTTTAAGAACAGCATTTTATTGGGAATTATTCCAAAATGTATATGTTAGTGTTTTAGTACTCAACAAGCGTTTATATAGAATGAGTGCTTCTCTCATCCATACAAAGGCATTCTAAAGGGAAATTATGTATTAAAATTGTGAGAGAAGTACATGTTACACTAGTTAAGAGTTTAACTTTAGTCTCTAATTTGAGTTTAGCCTAGATAATTAATTTATTGATGTCGTACTGATCCTTGTGTTTGTATGATTATAGAGACCGTACTGGAGTATTTGTGCCGCCTGATATTTGGGACTACACACCAATCTCTCTGGCTGACCTACCTGCCTACTTAACTTTTTTTGCTGTTTGGTCAAAATCCATGCTGGCCGAAGAAACTGACATGCTTACTTATGAGGACATAAACTAACTTGGAAAGTCCTGAAGTGCAGTGCTGTCTAATGCCGCTATTTCTGTATTACCCTTTCAACAATTGGGGTGCTGCACAGAGTATTGTGGTGAACATCTAGCACACAGAAGAATTAAGAACTATGTGGAAGCTGACATTGTCTTGTTGTCAGCCATATTGCTACCCTTAGCTATGTTATGGTGTCTAAGATTATGGAAAAAAGTTTATGGTGTCTAAGATTCTTTATACTCCTTGAAAGTCTTTTTCTATTTTTCTGGACTATGCTGGACTATTAAACTATTTTGTTATTTTGATTTTTTAGAGTTAGCCAGAGAGAGAGGAAGTGTTAGCTTACTCAGGCATGGATGTACTATGTGTGTCAATGATGTATGTTGAGTGTACCAAGGATGGATTCCCATGTATTAAGTGTGGATATGACTGGACCGTCGAAATAGGGATGTGATTAGGAGACATAGGATGCAAGGTCATGATTGGGATTATTGTTAGAATTTCAAGATGATTATAAATTATCTCATGATTTCATATGTAAATGGGCCTTTTCAAACGAATCAAGAAGTGTTTCCCAATCCCGATACCCGAGTTATTTACTTACAAGTGCGGGTTTTATAAGTCACTAATGCTGTCAACGTGAGGGGATGACATGTCTACACAGTCATGGCCCTCACTCAGGGTTTCCCCAGATGTGCTTTTTTTCTCAAATATGAGTTTTTGCCACTGTTTTTTTTTTACCTGGCCCCAGATCACCGGGTGGACTGGTAATCCAAGACTATGGTACAAAGAGGGGGATAGATATTCCCGTTTTGACTATATGAGCTTACATTATGAATTATAATAATAATAATAATATTCTCGTTGTTTGGAATAATACACTTTGCCTATATTGACCCAAGGCTCAAGCTACAGATAACATGATGTTCAGTCTGTTTAAAAATGGTTAACATGTCAGCTGTTTGAAATATTTAACTTGTACTCTTAAAAGATGTATTCAACAGATAATTGAAAAAGCTGAAAATTGACAGCTCGAACTCCTCTTAAAGGGAAAACCTACGGCACAGAGCAAATGGGGGAAATCGAGGTGAAGGAATAATGAAAGTCCTGCAGACGTGATTACCACATCTGAATATACCACCTTTAGTTTCTCTGCCGCAGGCCTCCCATGGATATTTTCCATAAGGTAGATCATGATATGATCTAAGAGGGGAATTGTAGATACGAATATCCATTTCACTATCTATCCTAGCTGTTTATATAAGGGTTAATTTGAACCAAGAATAAATTTGAAATTGGATTCTTGGAAATAAATGTATCTAAAATCCTAGTTCCGGGAAAAGTACTGATTTCGAAATGTTCTTGTTAACCCCTTAAGGACGCAGCTTCAGAAGCTGGACATACCCTTAAGGACTCAAGCTATTTTTGCATTTTTTGCTGTTTGTGTTCAACTGCAATTTGCATCGCTCTCATTTATTGAATCAACACATATTATATATCGTTTTTTAAAGGACAGGATGGGCTTTACTTTGATGTGACTTATACATATATAAAATCTAATTTATTATTAAAAAAAAAAAGAAAAAATATATATATTTTTCACAGTTTTGGCAATAATAGTGTGTGTATAATATGTCCAGCTTAGGAAAAGTAATTCAAAATAAATTCATTTAGGTTTCTTGTTTTTCAAAGTGCATAATATGTAAAGGATTTCAGCTTATTTTAAAAGTTACAGGTCACAAAATACAAGGAGTAATATAAAATTTAAATGTGAAAAAAAATTTAGAAGTTGGTATGTTTGACTTGTAAGTTTGACAGCTGTCACAGAAAACAAAATTGCTACACAAAAGTATATATTTAAATAAAGAAGACATCACAGGCTATTTATTTAAGGGTATTTTGACACTTTTTACATAGCCTTTTTCCCACCAATCTCTGCTACATATTGTAGTAAAATTGTGGTTTTTCTGTTTTTTGAAATACACACATGTAACAAGGTTTTTTTAAATGTGTATTTCGTAAAGCTGCTGTGTGCTATTCCTGGTCAAAATCCAATTTTGTGTTCAGCAACATCTGCTGAGTACAACAATACCCCCATTGTATGCCCTTGCCACTATTTTGGGAAGCTACAATGAAATATAAGAGGCCAGATTATTTCAGTTTCTACAGTTAGAAAATTCAAAGATGGATTTAATGGACCTATGTCTTATTTTGGGGCATTATAGTAGTTTGGTTGTTCAAATGACCACACAAAGGCAGGGCCGGACTGGCCCACCGGGATACCGGGAAATTTCCCGGTGGGCCGCGGCACCTGGGGCCGGTCTGACAGCTCCTGTGATCCCGGCGGCCGTGTGTGAGCTGTGCGGCCGCACATAGCCCCATGGGGAGCCGGGGGGAGCCAGGCAGCCGGCTCACACACGGCCGCCCGGGATCATTTAAAAAAAATTTAAAACAAATTACGGCGGGGGCGGAGCTTACTGTGCGGCGGGGGCGGGGCTTAACACACGGTGGAGGCGGAGCTTACTGTGCGGCGGGGCCCGGCTAATTGCAGCATGGGAAGCAGGAAGGAGTCCCTGCTTCCCCAACAACAAGCCTCCAGGAGCTCCAAGCAGGAGGTAAGAAGGAGGTCAGTGTGTCTGTGTGAGTGTGTGACTGTGACTGTCTGTGTGAGTGTGTGACTGTCTGTGAGTGTGTGACTGTGACTGTCTGTGTGAGTGTGTGACTGTCTGTGAGTGTGTGACTGTGACTGTCTGTGAGTGTGTGACTGTGGACTGTGAGTGTGTGACTGTGTGTGTGTGCGGGACTGTGTGTGCGGACTGTGTGTGTGTGTGGACTGTGTGGACTGTGTGTGTGTGGACTGCCCGTGTGTGTGTGTGTGACTGTGGACTGCCCTGTGTGTGTGACCGGTTCGTGAGCGCGGTGACCGTCTGTGAGTGTGTGACTGTCTGTGTGTGTGTGACTGTTAGTGTGTGTTTGTGTGTGACTGCCTGTGTGTGCGTGTGACTGCCTGTGTGTGTGTGTGACTGTCTATGTGTCTGTCTGCCTGTGTATGTTACTGTCTGTGTGTGTGTGACTGTCTGTGTGTGTCTGTCTGTCTGTGTGACTGTGTGTGTGTGTGTGACTGTGTGTGTGTAACTGTCTGCCTGTGTGTGTGTGTGTGTGACTGTGTGTGTGTAACTGTCTGCCTGTGTGTGTGGCTGTCTGCCTGTGTGTGTGTGTGTGTAACTGTCTGCCTGTGTGTGTGGCTGTCTGCCTGTGTGTCTGTGTGTGACTGTCTGCCTGTGTGTGTGTGACTGTCTGCCTGTGTGTGTGTGGCTGTCTGCCTGTCTGTATGTGTGGATGTTTGCCTCGGTGTGTGTGTGCGCACCTGCTAGTGAGGGAGCCTCTGTGTGTGTGTGTGCCTGCTAGTGAGTTTGTGTGTGTGTGTGTGCCTGCTAGTGAGTGAGCTTGTATGTGTGTCAGTGAGCTTGTCTGTAGGGATCATATGTGTGTGTGTTAGTGAGCTCTTGTCTGTAAGGAGCATGGGTGTGATCGTGGGCTTGTCTGTAGTGAGCGTGTGTGTCAGTGAACTTGTCTGTAGTGAGCGTGTGTGTCAGTGAGCTTGTCTGTAGTGACCATATGTGTCAGTGAACTTGTCTGTAGTGACCATATGTGTCAGTGAGCTTGTCTGTAGTGAGCGTGTGTGTCAGTGAGCTTGTCTGTAGTGACCATATGTGTCAGTGAGCTTGTCTGTAGTGAGCATGGGTGTGTCAGTGAGCTTGTCTGTAGTGAATCTGTGTTAGTGAGCTCTTCTGTAGGGAGCATGTGTGTGTCAATGGGCTTGTCTGTAGGGAGAGTGTGTGCGCATCAGTGAGCTTGTCTATAGTGAGCGTGTGTGTCAGTGAGCTTGTCTGTAGTGAGCGTGTGTCAGTGAGCTTGTCTGTAGTGAGCGTGTGTGTCAGTGAGCTTGTCTGTAGTGAGCATGTGTGTGTCAGTGAGCTTGTCTGTAGTGAATCTGTGTTAGTGAGCTCTTCTGTAGGGAGCATGTATGTGTCAATGGGCTTGTCTGTAGGGAGAGTGTGTGCGCATCAGTGAGCTTGTCTGTAGTGAGCATGTGTGTGTGACAGTGAGCTTGTCTGTAGTAAGCTTGTGTGTGTATCAGAGTTTGTCTGTACTAAATTTGTGTGTCTGCCAGTAACCTTGTCTGTGTGTGTCATTGAGATTGCCTGTCAATGAGCCTATTTGTGTGCATCAGTAAGATTGTCTGTGTCTGTGTGTTAGTATGCTTTACTGTATAATTTAATTACCCTGAAAGGACTAATATTTTGAATTAGAAGAAGAAATGTATCAATAATATATATATATATACACATCCATTAAAGGACCACTCTATGCACCCAGACCACTTCAGCTTAATGAAGTGGTCTGGGTGCCTGGTCCAGCTAGGGTTAACCCATTTTTTCATAAATATAGCAGTTTCAGAGTGCTATGTTTATGAATGGGTTAAGCCTTCCCCTATTTCCTCTAGTGGCTGTCTCATTGACAGCCACTAGAGGCGCTTGCGTGCTTCTCACTGTGATTTTCACAGTGAGAGAACGCCAGCGTCCATAGGAAAGCATTGATAATGCTTTCCTGTGTGACCGGCTGAATGCGCGCGCAGCTCTTGCCGCGCGTGTGCATTCAGCCGACGGGGAGGAGAGAAGGAGGATCGGAGGAGGAGAGCTCCCCGCCCAGCGCTGGAAAAAGGTAAGTTTTTACCCCTTTCACCCTTCCAGAGCCGGGCGGGAGTGGGACCCTGAGGGTGGGGGCACCCTCAGGGCACTATAGTGGTCCTTTAATATATAACACCCTACATAGCACAATGACTTATGGGGCTGGCATAGATTTTTTTCCAGGGCTGCTTCGTATCCCCAGTCCGGCCCTGCACAAAGGCCTTCCATTCGTGAAAGTAGACACTCCATGGTATCTCATATGGCATATATTTTGCCTTAACGGTTCACCATTTATTCACCATTATATGTCAAAATTTGTGTTTAAAAAATATTTTCTGCATTTTTTCCTTAAGCATTACGTTTGTGCTGGGCATTTTGTATATTTGATATGTTCCACTATGGTCAAACACCCCTAATTATGCTCAGCTTAATCTTCTGAGTAAAACAATACCCCCAATGTATGTCTTTTACACTATTTGGTGACGCTACAGTGCCATAAAGGAGACCTGACCATTTCAGTTCTTAGAGTAGAATTTTCAGAGACGAATTTGCAGGGCTTATGTTTCAATTTGGGCCATTATAGCAGTTTGACTGTTTGAGAAAACGCAAAAAGGCCTACCATTTGTGAAAGTAGACACTCCAGAGTATCTCATATGGCATATATTGTGCCTTAACATGTCGCCATTTTTTCACCATGATATGTCAAAGTTTGTGGTAAAAAAAATATTTTTCGCATTTTTAACTTTTGCGTTACATTTGTGCTGGGCATTTTGTGTATTTCATA